AATAAAGCTAATTTAACAATAATTGATTTATTTTTTTAAATTTTTTTTTAAAAAAAAATATAGAACTATCAAAATGACAAATATAATATTGTCATACTATTTCTGATTTTATTTTGAAAATATTTTTAATAAAATAAATAATAAACATGTAAATTATATTATATAATTTTAATCAATTAAAATCAATTTTATAATTATTATATAATATGATCAACAATCTTAATTTAAAATAAAATTTTTAGACTTGATGATTTATTATATTTTGCACTATAATAAAAAAAATAAAATAAAATAAAAATAATATAAAAATAACAATATAATACAAATTTATATATATATAAATTTAATATTATTTTTGTTTATAATTTTTAAAAATAATCAAATATATTTTAAAATTTACTTATGTAATAAATTATATGATAACTATACAAATAGAAATTTATTCTAATTATTAATAAAGTCATATAATCTAACCTTAATAAAAAATAATATAAATTTTAATTAAGATAAATCAATATTAATTAGAGTTAAACAATAAAAAACAATGAAAATATTAGATAAATATCAGCTAAATTAAGGAAAATGTAATTTTATTTAATAATTTTCTAATCATTAATAATTTATATTTTTAAATTAATGTTAAAATAATCAGAGATATTTAAAAAAATCAAAAATTTCTCTTATAGTATATTTAATTATGCAAAAATATTTATTATAAATCTATGCATAATATTATTAAAAAACTAAATTTATTTTTAAAATAATCAAACTTATTTCTTCTATAGAAATTTATCAATTATGTAATTTTCTTATATTATATAATTTTTAGTTATATTTGATTATATTGATATAAAATTATTTCAATTTCAAGTATTTTTTTTAGCCTTTAGATTATTAAATCTTATAGATAATTTCTTTAATAAAATTTAAGCACATTTTTTTGATTTTCTTGAAATTTTTTTTTTAAAAAAAATAAATCAAAATATTAAATGTAAATTTAAATATAAACTTAAACTTATATACAAATATAAATACAAATATAAACTTAAACTTAAATACAAATATAAATACAAATATAAGTTTAAATTTAAAATCTAAATCTCTTATTAAAAAATTAATATATATAATGAGACTATAAAATTAAATCATAAAAATATATAAAAATATATTAAATACTTTATTATTAATTATTTTACAATTACAGTTTTTATAATTATTAAATCTTCCTCTTTACCTTTTTATTCATCATCATTATTATCACTATTATCAATATCAATAATAATAAATAAAGTAATATAGTAATATAATTACTACAATTATTATAATCATCATTAATATTATTATCATTTGGATTATAACTTTTAATAATTATATTTAAATCAATTAATAATGTAAATAATAATATTTTAATATATTTACATTATTATTATAATTTATTAAATACTTATTATTATAATAAATTAAATTATTAATAAATTAATATTTAAAATACTACTATAATATTAAACTTTTTGTTTAAATATTGAATAATCAATAATTAATAACAAAAATTATTTATTATTAAGTTATAAAAAATTATTGTAAAATTAAATTAACTAAATCTAATATTAATATAAAAGCTTTATATAAGTTAAATTACTAGTAAATCAATAAGCTGATTTATTTAAGCTTGGCTTAAATTATTATAAAATAAATTATAAATCAAATAAGTTAGCTTATACTATAATTTAGCTTGTAATACAGTTTAATTTATTAGCTTATATTTTCTTTTTTAAAGAAAATAAATTTAAAGATATTTTTAAAAAATAATACTGATAATATTTTCTTTAAAAAAAATATACTCAATGATATTTTCTTTGAAGAAAAATGCATGTAGTAATATTTTCTTAAGAAAAATGTATTTAGAGTTAAATTTCTTTAAAGGAATTAACTTTTAAAGTAATTTTTTTAAAAAATTTTTATTTTTAAAGCAATTTTTTTAAGAGATTTTACTTTTAGAATGATTTTTTTAAAAATTTTACTTTTATAATGATTTTTTTAAAGGATCTTACTTCTATATATTTTATTTTATAATTAAATTATTTATTTATTTTATAAAAATAAAAAAGTATTTTTTTTAAATTAATTTTCAAGATTATTTTTAATTGATATTATATTTTTTAAAAATATTATGTTATATATTTAAATTATAGGTTAGTTGATTTTTAAAAATAATTAAAATATTTTTATACCTTGTTTTATCAAAAATTTTATATAAAAAAATTGGTATAACAATATAAAATAATAGAAGAAAATATATATCATAAGATATTAAAATATTATTTAGAAATATATTTAATATAGTATTACATATTAAATTAAAGAATAGGCAAATTTGATTACTTTATATTCAATATATTTGCTTAAATCCAAATTATCTAATAAGTATAAAATCATATTATAATAAATATTTTTAATTATTTTAAATTTGAATTTTAAATTGCAAAATAAATAAATAAATTTATAGAAATAGTATATTAAAGTTAAAATTAATGTTTTATACAAATTTAAATTGATTTAAATTCAATATAAATCTGATAAATTAGATTCAGATCAAATCTAAACTATTAGATTCAAATTCAAATTCAAAATTTGTTTGATCTAGATATTCAAATCTGAATTATTATTAATATGATTTAATTTACTATTATTTTAATTGAATAATTTATTATCATTCTTTTTGAACAATTTACTATTCTTTTAAATAAGTAATTTGTTTTTAAACAATATATTATTATTCTCTTTTAATGATTTATTATTATTTAATTAAAATAATTTATTATTATTTTCTTAAATGATTTATTCTCATTATAGAATTTATTATTATTTTAATTAGGATGATTTATTATCATTTTTCCTAATAATATATTATTTTTAAGAAAACAATTTATTATTATTCTAATTAAATAATTTATTATTATTTTTTAAATAAATTATTAATAATAAGCTAATATTATTTTAAGTTTCTTAATTTTATTTTTTTTTAATTAAATTAATTACAATATTCTTATTTAGCAAAAATAGTATAGGCTTTTTAGTAATTCTAAAATAAATTTAAAACTATTGAACTTTTATAATTTTAATTTATATTTATTGTTAAAGCTACTAGTTTTCTAATAAAAAATGCATTTTCTAAAGAAACTGATTTAATTATATATAAAAAGATATAGTCTATTAGTAAAAATAATTAGAATGTGTATATATCTTAAATCTTAATAAAAAATATTACTTTTAATATATTTTTTATTAATTAATTTTATAAATATTTAGTTTTATTTTTTTTTTTTTGTTATTTTTGAATTAAATAAAAAATAATATATTAAATAAATTTATAATAAAATTTAAAATAAATAAATTTATAATAAAATTTAAAATAAATAAATTTTTTTTATATTTAAATATTTATAAGTTAAATTTAAATTTGACTTAAAATTTGATTTAAACTTGATTTAACTTAAATAAATTCAAATCAAAATTGAGTCAAGTTAAAATTAAGTTAAATTGAATTAAGTCAAGTTTAAATTTATATAATAAGCCAAAAGATTTCATAAAGAGAAACGTGATTTAACTCAACTTGAAAAATGATTTAAATAGAGTTAATCTTTAAATTTAACTTATTTAACTTTTATTTTTCTTGAATTCTCAAAAAAAAATAGTATAATAAAACCTAAGAATTTGATTTCATTATCATTATTAAATGTAATAATTTGATAATTATATTCTTTTGGTAATTTTATTTGATTAATATCTTGAATAAATACTTTTATGATGAATATTATCCAGCATATATGAACTTGTTTTTTATGTATTTCAGGATGATTTTGTTCTAATTTATTATAAATATCACTAGAAGTTAAATAAATATTTTCTTTAATTTTCTTTTTAATTTCTTCAATAATATAATTTGATTCAAGTTATTGGTAAAGAATTCATTAAGATGAATATATAAGTAACTTGAAGAGTCCTGTTATAATCAAATCTTTCCATTAACTCACAATTTCTTTGAAATTCAAGATCCTGATATTTCAAAATTTTTTTTTGTTAATTTTGACTTGAGAACATTGATATTAAAATGTATATTTATAGTGTTTAAAATAAATTTGCAATCTTTTTTGATATCCAACATTGATTCTCGCATTTTTGATCATGGACTGAACTGTTCCACTTGTACATAATTTTTTTTTTAGTAATGGAGCTTTTTAAGCTTAAAAAAAGTTAGTTTATGTATTTATCGTAGAGACAACACCATTATTTTTTTAGGTTGTATGCTAATACATATAATACATACACTGGCGATTTTTTTTTTTCCTATCGTATTTGAGACCATATACCGTAATTTTTTTTTAACAAAATTTTGATTGTTTATACAAAGTTCCTTTTCTCAAATGTTTCTTTAATGTAATTAAATTTCTCAAAATTCTAAAGCGGGATATTATTTATTTACATTATTTAGCAAGAAGCAGTGGTTGGATAATTTCGCGTCATATAACAAATTCAAAATTTCCACGGATAAAATCAAACAAATTAAATTTAATGTCAAATGAATATTCCTACATTTCAAAAGTTAAATTTGATTTAAAGTGAAGCTTTTGGCAATGACAACATACAATAAAATTTCAATTTCCTATTCAACAGTTTTAAACCGTTGAATCAGCCAAAAGATCGATGCCTTTCTTCAAGGAAAAACGAAATTTGAAAATTTTTCAAGAAGCAATTTTCATTCAAATCAAGTTTATTTGATAAAAAACATGATACGAGTGTCGACTAAACAATTAACATCATGTAATAACTAAACCGAACTTGTTTGAAAAATTTTTTTATAGAGAGACAATAATCATATAATATTGAATGAAATCATATAAATATAAAAATATTCTTTATAAAATATTTCAAAAAATAAAATAAAATAATAGAATGATATAGAAGATATAGTAGGAAGATATACTATATACTTGTGTTACTTATTTCTTCGTGCTAAAGGATTGTACATATGCGAAGATGCTATCCTTTGGGATTTGCCCACCATAAATAAATCCTTGTAAAATTGAAGCAAAGGATTTTTTAGTAATGCCGCCTTCTTTAAATCCAAGTCTTGAAAAGATATAATATCTAAATAAAGAAAAAAAATATATCAAATAAACATAAATTAATATCTTTTTTTTTTTTTAAAAAAAAAAAGGGGGATTTGTAGTAAATAAAAAAACTCACTTGGTATAACGGCCAATTACATCGATGGGATAAGACATTTGAATCCCGATAATTGGAATTGTATAGTTTGGTACGTAACCGAACAAAAAGTACCCATCATCCGCATCTTTTTCTTTTTTCTTTTTATAGACATTTTTCGAGTTGGAGGCCTCAGGCTCAGGACCTTGTTGGGAGGTTTTTATAGACTCCGAGATTTGCTCGGTATCAGCGATATACGAATTTTTTTCACACGAATTAGATTCCGAATCCTCTTGCTCGAGGGTAAAAGATTTATTTTGAAGAGAATTGTCGCTTTCAAAAGGGAGGATGTCTTCTTTTGGGGACTCATTGAACTCGGTATTGGGCGATAAATGACCCATAGAAAAATCAGATATTTCGACAGTCATTTTTTAATTTTATTACCGTACTTTTAACAAGCGAATTCTTTTTCTTTTAAATTTAACACCGTATTTAATGAAAATACGGTATATATTTTTTGTTTGGAACAATTTTCATTATTTATAATAAAAAACGAAGATTTGCTGCGCCTAAGGATTACATAAGATGTTTTTGTTTTTGAAAACGTTAAAAAATGATGCGGATTTTCGGATTTTCGGATTTTATCACGTTGAACTTTTATAAATTTCCATCTATAACGACAAAAGAAAGCTTCAATATGACAGCCAAAAAGTTTTATATGGCTTTTTCATAAGACTCATGCAATGTAAATAGGAGGTCATTTGATGTTGTGTCTTCTTTATTGACTTTATTGAGAAATTTTTAAGGGAAAACGTGGGTGCCTTGCTGCGTCGGAGATAAGGAATAAGGGAGGCCTTGGTGTCAATTTGCAAGATAAGATTTTTCAAAAAAAAGAGTGGTTTTTGTTTCCAAAATTAAAAGGAACCGTGGGGGTTTTTTCTTTTTTTAGAAAAAAAAATTTCAAATAATAAAAATTACTACGCACTAATAAAACGTCCAAATAACATTGCATATATAAAAATGTGCCCCAACGTGAGAACATTTCTCTCTTTTACAAAAGAAAACTAACAAAAAACAGTTCTGCCAAATACTATTTCGCAATTTTTGGCTTCCGAAGGAACGTAATAAAAATCTTTATTGTTTATTTTTAACTTAAGAATAATTTTTCCGATAACGCTACGCTTCTTACAAACGAAACGGAAGGACTTCTTCGATCACGCTAACGCTACCGACAACGAAACGAAGGGCTTTTCGCTTCAAGATCCAAAATTTAAGGTAGACGAGGGAAAAGTCCATTATTGATACGGGTAGAACTGTTAATGGGAGAAGTGTTGTATAGTCATTTTAATATATCAAAGCAAGTTAATCTTTTAAATAGCGTTGGCTTTGATAAAAATAACACGATGCAGAGTAATTTATTACAAATCGTCCCTTTATTATTGACTATATAATAACCTCTTAACCCCTCGCTGATGTGCTGCTGATGTACTTTGGCGGCGCTCACTGAGTAATATTCTAAAAATCCAGAACCTAAATTAGTGGTCCCATTGGTACTGGCTGTTCTTCCTTAGGGAGTAGTTAACCACGGAAGTTACTCATGTGCGCCCTTTAATTTTTTTTATTTAAACATAGAAACGGACGATCCCGAACATTTTCCGAAAACGATAACGTTACTGACAAACGAAACGAAAGACTTTCGCGCAAAGATTCAACTTAAGAAAAAAAACCAAAAAATTTTTTAATTTTTATTGTAGAACTTTTATTTTATTTTATATTTTTTTAAAAAAAATCTTTAGATGGTCGTACATTTAATAAATAATTAATTTTATACGTAAATAAATCTATTTAATCCATAATAAAAATTGCGGTAATGAATTAAAAGTTATTTAATTTATTTGAAATTCTCTTTGAAAAAAAAAAAATTTCGCAACATTACATAGACTGTATTACCGGTAAATTCGCAATAAACCGATACCCAATTTTTCTTTTTTCTCTGATATACCGATCATCATTGATAATGAACATCATAATATAAACGTCAAATGAAGATTGCTCGTTATCAATTTTCTCAGTGATTTATCTTTCTTTTTAAAGTATTGATTCAAATTTCAACATGTACAATTTATCTTTTTTTTTTTATTAATTTGTGAATATAACAAAGTTTAGGAGTCAGAGATTATTCCACTTTGGATAATAGTTGATCCGAACAAATACTGCGCCTTGCTTTCCAAGATTTCCCTCGGTCAACAAACACAAGGAGTCACAATATTTAAACCGTTAGGTCAAGAGAAATTTAAAAGTCAGAAGATCGAGTTTATTCATTTTCCCCTTAAAAAAAAAAAAAAACTTTTCTAAAACAAAAGTAGCTTAACCAACCTTGTATTAATCGATTAGCGAATACTTGTGCACGATGATTCATTTATCCTTGATCATTTTTCAAAATCTCAAACTCCATGCATATTTTCGGGTTAGATTGCATTGTGATGATTGGTAAGAATCACGATTGTGCCGCAGTACAAGGCACAAACCAACCGATCTTTATCGGGCTTATCTTCGTTGCATAGCATTATTACATAAAGTGCTTAGTAACCAGATATATTAAATGCAAAATGGGTCAAATTTAATGCAAAGACGATATCGGTTAGTGAAATTTTACTTACTCGAGTCGTTTCATGCACTGATAAATGAGGCGCAGTCACAAATACATCCAAAAAGGAACTTCTTTCTGGATCTCTTGAAATGGTAAGTCACACCTCATGATAAACAACACGAAAAATTATAAATCGACGAAACTAAACGAAGTATGTGTATCTTAAATTTTCAAACACCCCATGACTTCTTCCCCCCCTAAAAAAAAAAAGAAAAAGATAATGAAAAAAAAAAGGCGTTGGGGTAACATGTACTTTGGTCTTAGAGTCACAATTACTGAAGGGAAAAAAGGGAACCAAAAAATGTAATATAATCATTGTTTTTGGTATTTCAATAAGAACAGATTTATCATTAATATAAAAAATTTAAAATTACTTGTACACGCGCAACTTTATGGTTACACGTTGAACACTTATGAAACCACGCCAAACCAAATAAAGTAACTAAACTTGCGCCTAACGTACTTTGAAAGGGTTTTTTTTTAAAATAAAGAATGAGACAAAGAGATTTGTTTGAGGTGAAAAAAAACTTTATTATTGTCATTTACGATTGTGAAAAAAGAAATCTGAAAGAAAGAAAAAAGACCAAACACATGCACAAAAATCGAAACATGGAAATACCGCCAATAACATAATGATTGTAATTCCGCATGAATAATCGTCATGGATGTTATGAATCATAGATATGGTATGATAATAATCTAAAAATAGATCTACGAATTTAGAAATTTAAACAACGACGAATGTCGTAGCGTGCAGCTATGATGCATTTTTAAAACAGATAAAGTTTTGATTACATCCGAATAATTCCCTCCACTTTTTGTACCTTATGTGCCATTTTACATTTGGTTTAGACCAAAACGCACTCGCCCCACGACTTTTTTTTTAAAGAAAATTGCGCAATATCTCGATACATCATACAAAAAGGAAAATTTGAAAGGATGTGTAACACATGATTTAACGTATTTAATTACCGAAAAGAATTGTCTTAATCATGATGCTTAAGAAAGCAAAACTTTGAAACGATCAAGGAGGATGTTGTGACATGAGAATCATCTAGATAGACGCATCTTCATTAGTATTATAAATTAAAAATAAAAAATAAATTATTGAAATCTCACAATTGAGGCAAAATTTCTTAATTGTACCTAGTCTCTTCCTTTCACCCCCTTTCATAATACAAGATCTTTAGAATCAAAAGAATCAACTATAATATAAAAGAGAGCGAAAAATGAATGAGCCTATTTAGAGAATCGATTCACGAATTACATTTTGGCTAATTCACTTAGCCGAATTCAAAAACTTTAATCATGATTTACCGGATTTTCATATAAAATGGATCGACCTATCCTAGGTGACACGACATAATTTCCGCATTTGTCGCGTGGATTTAATACAAAAATTTAAAAAGAAAAAAACATTTAATTTATGGTCTATATTCGGCAAATCATCCGAGGTAGAAAGAATGGCTTAGAAATTTAAAAAAAGAAAAAACCATTTAATTTACGGCCTATATTCGGCAAATCATCTCATCCAAGATAAAAGAATGGCTTAGAAATTTAAAAAAGAAAAAAAACATTTAATTTATGGCCTATATTCGGCAAATCATCCGAGATTGAAAGAATGGGCTTAGAAGAAACAATGGAATTTCTTATCTATAGGTTGTGGTTGTACTTTACCTAAAATCATAACACAATGTTTTTTTTCAAATACAAGTTTCAACGAATTTTCTTATGCAGGAGTAAATAGATGAAATGAATAAGGCCTTCTATGACCACGAATTTAGTTAACCTTCTTTCTCGATAAAATACTTCCTCTTACTAGAATAGGTAAATTGGTCATATTCCAAAAAAAAAAATTTATAAATCAGAAGACTAATTGATTACATGTAATAGGGGTCTTATCGGTGGGATGAATAATTGCAATCGCTTATATAAAACCAGTTTTTTTTCGTAATTTTACCATTTTTTTTCTTTTCTTTTCTCCTATATTGAACAAGATTAGTTAGTAAAAATTAAATTTTCTCTTGCCTATTCCATAAAATCAACCAAACCTGTTGAAAATTATAATTCATCCCTGTTAATCCTTTCTTACTTCGTTAAAAATCAAGTAATAACGCGAAAAAAAAAATTTCTTTTAAAAAAAATCTGTGTAAAGCATACATCCAAATTGGACATACGAAAAGAGAGAAAAAAGGGTATATAACGGAATTTTCACGATTTGTTACTTTGATAAACGCCACATACTTTTTACTGTGCCTCAAAGTTTAATAAACATAAACATAAACAAATAAATACACAAAATAACAAGCGTCCCCAAAAAAGAATCTTTGTTATCAGTGGATTTTTAAATTTTTATATAAAAGCGAGTGATTCAAGGTGCAAAAAATTTTTTTGTTTTTTCCGAGGGATTTTTTTAATCTTCCTCACCTTAATAACTACATTTGTTAAAATTTATATATACTGTATATAGAAGTCCATTTACCCATCTTTTATCCTTTCCTTATTTTTTTTTTTTTTCCTTTCCTTTAGGAATTATAAATGTTGAGAAAAAAATTAACCTTCTATTAATGCTTTAAATATTATTTTATTATATATAGTTATTTACCTTTGCGTTTTCGCGTCTCGCAAGCACGTAGAACGAAAAATCTCTTAGTCTTACTATATCAAACAATAATAAGGATGCCCACCACACAAAGTAAACCAACTTCTGGCGATGACGTAAATCAAGCAAAGCAAATATATAATGATATAAATGATTACTTGGATTGTTTGGCAGAAATGATACAATCCGAAGTACAAGAATTCGACGAAGAGGATTCTGATGATGAAGAATTATCTCCCATAGCTTTGCAATTCTTAAAAGACTATAAAGAATACATTTCCTCTCCATCTCAAGTTCATACACAACTTGTCGATTCTGGTTCTTCATCATCTGGCTCATCCTCACGACTACAAAAAAAGCGGTTTTGGATGTATACTCAAACGAATCAAATGTTACGGTCACTTGCTCCTAAGCTACTCAGCGTTAATCCAAAATTATGTGAAGCAAAGATAGATTATAGTGCACAAGCCTCTCCATCATTCTCCACTTCTCCTTCCGACACAACTAGCAGCAATAATGAAAAGTTACTTATGAATAACACCAGCACAGCCGTTGCATCATTGAAAGCTCATCTAGCAAAAGAACAAGAAAAGAATTGTATCTTTATTCGCAAACCGCAATATGCACCTATCGAGGAGAAAAATTTCGTTTTTGTTGTTAAAGAATCAACTGCTGCTATTGTCACTCCTCCTAAGCTCGTTGAATCCCCTACTAAAGAGAAAATTGAAGAAAAAGGTTCAATGTCTGAAAAATCCGAATTTATTGAAAACCTATCAGAAAAGGTTAAAAAGATACCAATCAGCATCGATTTGATTTCCAATTTCGTAAGTATTTTGGTTTTATTAAGTCACGTGAGAAGGTAACGAAAACTAATTTTCTTCCTTCTTCAAATTCAGATTGCCATAACGAAGGTCGGATTTTCCAAGTCTCAACTTTCTCAACTTTCTTCACTAATGTGGACCGAGTGAAGGGTGGGATTCACAAATTCCTTGAAGAATATTCCTATTACTACTACTATATAAACATTTCATTTTATGATTTTTCTCACATGCATTTCTTTAACAAAAAAAATTGATTAAAAAACAAAAAAAAAAAAGGGGGTCAATTTTAATGTAATATAATTTTTTTAAACATCTTTTATTTTTCCTTTTCATTCTTTATTTCATTTCATATAATACCATTTCTATTTATTTTATTTGTAAGAAAAAAAAAAAAAAAAAAAAAAAAAAATTCGTTTGAGTCGTGTTCTCTCTCTACTTCTACTTTGAGGGTGCTCGAAAAAAATTTTGTAAATACTTTGTCTTTTTAAAACATTATTTTTGTAAATTTTATTTTCTATTCTGGTGGATAACCATTAATGAGTATATAATTTTATTTCTTTGCGATTACGGGTAATCAAACATTTAAATATTTGGGATATTTCATTTAGTCATTAATTTTGGGGAAAAAATAAAATAAAAAAAATATTAATTGGGGTATATCGTAAAAATCCGTGAATGTGAAAACACATGTGGACACGGTCATGCAACAGAACTTAAAATTAAATGTAGTTAGTTTAGATAATTCTTTTGGTGGCGTTTATGATCGTTGTGTTTGTTTTTCTTTAGCATAAAGACAAATTTGTATATAACATGTTTTTATATTTCCTTCGCCACTTGTATAAAGTCCTTTATCACTCGATCACTGTCCGACCTTTTCTCCTGAAAAAAAAAAAAAAAAAAAAAAAAAAACCTGTTTAAATAAACAATTGAATAATCATTGTTTTTCCCAGTGTATAAAATTCATTTTTTAATGAAAGAAAAATTTTATTCGTGAGAACACTCGTGATTAAGGTGGGTTTTTTTGGTTATTTATTTAACCAAAAAAAAAGGAGTAAAATTTTTTGACAGGAATTATTTAAATATTCAGTTCGCGGTCTCCAAACTCCTCATAACAGGTTTTTTGTTGGTGTCATCTTTTACCCTTTGAGTTATATATAATCTGCAATTACAAAGAATTGTTGTTCTATGATGGGCTCAGTATGCATAAGTTGTGCATATTCGGCTTAGGTCTTGCCTTTTCATGAATAATAAAAAAAGATTATCTGTGCTTACGCAAAGGTTAATGAAGATCTTTTAAATCCTGTAGAAAGCAATTAATTTTTATTCCAGAATTTTTTTCTTTTTTTTTTTTCTTCAAAAAAAAATAGTAATTATAATAATATTATTTATGCACATGATTTTAAAAAGTGTTATTTTGATTGGTGAAATTGTAAATCCATCCAATAAAAACCTTGCCAACGAGACTTGCTCGAAATTCGACAGATTAAAATTTTATTTCACGTGCATAAAAAAATAAAAAAAATGTAGTTGCATGCATTTTGTGAGTAAATCCCCGTGATATACATAAAAAACTTTTTTTTTTTCAATTCCGTAAAGGTAAATAGATAAAAATGGAATTTCCAATTCCGATTAATTTATAGTGAATCGATCAAAAGAATATTATTTTTCATTCAAAATTG